GGGGGTTGACGAGGCCAGGGACAGAAAACGTCGAGAGACTCGAGAGAGGGGTGGCTCGTGCTAAAGGCAAAACAAAAGCTAGCGACATTCCACACGCCTCGGAAAACATGGCGGCCCCGTACAAACTGTAGGAGAAGTAGTTGCTCGGGCTGATGCTGGGGCAGGGTAGGGGTTGGAATTAAAGTCGGTGTTGGGAGCGATCCCGGCGCGCGAGAGGACGTCGTTCCTCTTAGAGAATCTAAAATAAGCCCTCATGCAAAAGACGAGGAGGGATGTTGGTCATTGTCCCTGTGCGCAGCTACTGCGTCCCCCGTACCAACCCTCTAAATAACATTATATCAGAATAGCAAAGGCAGGTAACAACCCCCTGGTAATGGAAGCCACGCGAGCACCATCGGATATTTTAATGCATTGCTATTGCTGTAGCGTGACGAAAACTTGAGTGCAGGAAAAACTCGAGAACTCTATTTGGGTAAGTTAAAATTTATTAAGGGAACGAGTCAAGTGAAAGTGTCATAATTAATAATTTACAAGACTAGTCGGCTGCATTTATAATGGGGAAAAAATCCATAGAGAGCGACCGCGCCCATCATATATAATAGACGCGCTCCCCTTCTTCTTCTTCTTCTCCTCTTCCTCCTTTTCATCCTCTTCCTTCTCTTTAACCTTTCTTCTCACTTCATTTTCTTCCATACACTTCTTTCCCCTACTGTGCCACCTGGCCTGAGTTCCTGCTTCTTCGGTGCTCTTCAGCTGCCTCCTTTTCTCCATCCACCTTCATCTCCGCCACCACCTTCATCACCACCACCTTCATCACCACCGCCTTCGTTTCAACCTCCCCCTTTGCGCTCGACCTCCATCTACTTTCAATCAATATTTAAAGAATTGCGCCTTAATAACCGTCCTGGCGTCGGGTAATGTCGGGGTTTCCTCCTTTGAGACACCTTCAGACTATTGTGAGAAGGTTCTTCAACTTCTAGGTTCGAGCAAATGAAAGTACCGTCTGTCGGTAAGCCTGCTGCCTATCTTATCATTTTCTACAACCTTTTTCGACACTAGCTAATGATCCAACCATCTTTCGTAGGTAGTCGATGCTTACACTATAGTTACACCGACTGAATGTAATCTGTCGATCAATGGTACCACGCGCTCACAGGAAATCAAATAGTGTTATTGATCAGGAGTTAACCGTCGGGAAGTTGGCGTCAAAAGATAGATAGTTCAATTTTCTAACGTCTCAAAAATATTCATTAAAACATTAACGTATTTTTTTTATTGCTATTCCAAATAACCAAGCAAATTATCATATGATTTTCTCTATGAATTAATTTCTTTCAATTTGCTGCATTTTGCGCCGTAATTTATTGTATTTTTTATTTCATTGAAGCACCTTTCAATTTGCTTTTTATGGCCTGATTGTAGTACTCCTGTATTTGCCATAGTTTTTTACATGTAAGTATTTTTTTGGGGTAAACTTTTAACTTTTGTCGCCAACTTCCCGACGATCAGGAGTTGTGACCGAAGAGTGCGAAACCAGAAATGAGTAGGGAGATGCACAACGATACAGTTTTAGGCGATACCAAAATCATGGCGCTAAATCGTAGCGGCGAGTCTGGAAGTAGGATTTCGTGATCATCGCCTCCGTCGACAAAGCGAATCCCGTCGTAGCCGAGCTAAACGTGAACACGAACGTGTAGCTTGGCGGGCAGAGGTTCTCCGCTACTCACCGCTGTTTCCCAAAGCAACCCTTAGAACGAGACCGGGAACTATAGAACTTCTCAACAACTGTTGTAAAAGCCTATTCTTTAAATATTTTTCCCCGACATCAATAAGTACAATTTTTTGTGACATTTTTTACTGCTTTTCTATTCGACTGAATAGTATTTAAACTATTCAAAGCGCTACAGCGCAAACGGACCTCCAATCGCGTCGGTCTAGTACGTGTAAAAAGACTATGCCAAGTACAGGAGTGCTGTGCATTTCTCTCACAAAAAATATTGAAATCATATTAATAATGCCAAGTACATAAGTCACTACATGTTTTCCTATTATATGATCTAGCACTGGCCCATCATTTTAATTATATTTTCAATATTTTCTATAACGTTTTCGCTACTCTTTTATGTTACTACTGCTTCCCGTATTTAATTATGATTCAATGGTGATTTAATAATTAATAAAACTTTAGGTGATTCCTTATCGAGTACTACTTGGTGGGTCCGTGCCAGGAATTCCAAAGTACTTACTTTGCACGTGCTCATAGTATTCCAATGCTGTATGTTTGTTATTAAGCTTTTACCATGATTATTTTTGACAAGTTATTGTTAATATGCTGTCTATAGAAAATTGGTATACTGGTTTTGTACCAAATTTATATCAAGAAATGCACGGACCCGTCAAGTAGTACTCGATAAGGAATCACCTAAAGTTTTATTAATTATTAAATCACCATTGAATCATAATTAAATACGGGAAGCAGTAGTAACATAAAAGAGTAGCGAAAACGTTATAGAAAATATTGAAAATATAATTAAAATGATGGGCCAGTGCTAGATCATATAATAGGAAAACATGTAGTGACTTATGTACTTGGCATTATTAATATGATTTCAATATTTTTTGTGAGAGAAATGCACAGCACTCCTGTACTTGGCATAGTCTTTTTACACGTACTAGACCGACGCGATTGGAGGTCCGTTTGCGCTGTAGCGCTTTGAATAGTTTAAATACTATTCAGTCGAATAGAAAAGCAGTAAAAAATGTCACAAAAAATTGTACTTATTGATGTCGGGGAAAAATATTTAAAGAATAGGCTTTTACAACAGTTGTTGAGAAGTTCTATAGTTCCCGGTCTCGTTCTAAGGGTTGCTTTGGGAAACAGCGGTGAGTAGCGGAGAACCTCTGCCCGCCAAGCTACACGTTCGTGTTCACGTTTAGCTCGGCTACGACGGGATTCGCTTTGTCGACGGAGGCGACGATCACGAAATCCTACTTCCAGACTCGCCGCTACGATTTAGCGCCACGATTTTGGTATCGCCGAAAACTGTATCGTTGTGCATCTCCCTACTCATCTCTGGAGAGACTGTGGGTCTTTACCTTCAGGTCAGCATCGACTGAACACAGTATCATGTTGCCAGACTAATGATTGCTGCAACACACAGGTGGCATCTGCAATGATGCGTCAGTACGTCAGACTGATGCCTCACGAAACACAAGGGAATTCCTCAATGCATTTATCATCCGCCCACGACCACAGTGACCTTTCCATAGGTCGATTTACTTATCGACGCATGTTATGGGGAATACCATAGAACCACAGATTACAGTTTACCAATTTTTAAATTATCCATGATAGCTCTATCTCCCTGTTGAATCTATTTATATCGGGCAATATTGAGGACTGGTATTAATAGGATATCGAATTTAGCAATAATTAATAGATATATATTTCCAAGTATTACAGTTCGCCTTGTGCCTTCAATACAATTCCTTATCTACGTAATCTCAAAAGGATTGACAATTATCTGGTAACGATAAAAAATGGGAAGTACACCATCTTAATAAAAGATTTGTAATTATTATTTTTTTGTCTCTTTTTTTCAATACGGCACCAAGGCCTCCTTTGTACTGGATGAGAATAAGTAGGTAAATCCAAAAAGTATTTTGTGCGCTGAGGGTAACCACTTTCACCTCGTGCAAAATTCAGGGAATATTATTATGCTTAACTTCGGCGTGGGTCACGGAACATGACTGTGCTGTCAAAGGTACAGCGAGAAGGGATGGTGGCCCTTTGAGTAAATGCAACTTTGGTACTTGAACGCGTGCAGTTTTTACTGCGTGTTTTGTGCTGATTCGACATTTCTTGTCGCCGAAGAAAGATGCAATTTACAATAATAAATTGACAAGGCCTAAGAATCTATTACGCGGTAACGATGGTAACGATATCAATTGATAATAATAATAATAATAATAGAAGTGACAATTATACAATCGCAGCTATTTTCTCCGTCAGCTCATTTTCGCACTTTCACTCACAATCAATATCTTTGACTCGAGATATCGATACAATAATGTACAATATATATTATCTTTGGTTTACGTAAATTCTCCATCTTCGACTTCACCTCAATCTAAGTCATTAACGATGTAATAATTGATTCGGTAACTAGGATCAAATTATTGCAATGTTTTTTTTTTTTCTTTTATCAAATATCATCGCCATTTTCCTTTCGTGCGATTTTGTTCGTTACGTCACTCGAGAACTTTCAAAATAAAAGGCAATAATTCGTATTTGCCGCACCTACCTCTTCTCTTGGCAGTATGTAATTTTTCTTTTTCTCTCCTACGTTGGACGCGAAGGTACGGCACTCAAATTTACTTAAAATTATCTTATTATTTAGTAATCAATCATCCGAGTAAAACATGAGCTAAAAATCTGCGAAGTCGATAACGTAGTTAAATCCTCTCTTTGATTGATTGACAATCAGCCTACAGCAGTCGGTCGTCCCGTGTCGCTTGACAATTAAAATTATTCTAATTTATAATTAATATGATATGCCCTAATTAACCAGCGTGCGATCTTACCGCACCCAACTCTTCCTAAACATATTAAACCGGACTATTCACAGTAATACGCTCCTATACAGTAAGAATACTATCTAATAATAATTCATTAATAATTATCAATCGCGATTAATAATCTCCCAATTGTGACATTATGCAATTTTGGATTTTTTAATAATTTAATAATAACGACCTACCGCCTCGATCTAAGCAGTCGTGTATCACCTCAGAAAATCCAATTCCTCGTTTGATAGTCTCGCGTATTTAGTCGGCAGTTTCAGGGTTATCGCAGTGTCGCAAAATCAAAAGATTCATTTGGGAAAGTCACGTGAGCTAGCCTGCCCCATTCCTACAATGGATCATTGCGATTAAACAGGTAACGTAGATCTGCTCAAGATCATCCCCGCGATCTTTTTCATTTCTTAATTTTCCGTCGTCCCGGCAATGTAGGCGTCCACTGCCTTCTGGACATTTCGAAAAACTGACAAATCGCGAGCCTCTGCCTCAGCTTCGGATGCAGCAGCCGCGCTGCTTCGGTAATCATGCAGCCAGCAGATTTTTTATATTTTTCGGAGTATTGTCCTCATTCAGGTGTTTGGTCGTGTAACGCAAAGCGTTCAGAAGTCCTTCGCTGTTGCAGGGTGGTTGGTCCTTTAATAGTTTTACGCATCCTTTCACCTAAAAAATTAAAAAAAAAAAAAAAATAACAATAACATCCAATCTTACATCGCAGTACAGTATTTCCCTGTATTTAAAAAAAATAAATAAAAAGCATAATAATACTCACGTCGACGTTAGACCCTTTAACGAAGGCGCCCTGAGGGTGCACATGATCGTAGAGAATAACCAGGCCTACCATCACTCTAAGAACGAACAGCTGAGTCTCCTCGCGTTGAAATTGGGCCAGCAGATTCCTGGAATGAACTTTCGTCAAGTATTCTTTTCGTCAAGATTCTTAGATCTACGGACGTTACTCACGGATTCTCCAGCATCCTCAAGCAAACCTTGGCCATGGTGCCCAGAGTCTCCGTTATGTTCTCCCTGGGGATGTCCTCGTTCTAGGAAATAAATCAGACCCAGAACTGAAGCAGCACTCGAGGAAAGTGCGTAAATACTTAGCGATCATGATTCTTACGTCCGCCAGGAATGTTATTGTTGCATGACTCAATACACGCAGCATTGGCGTAGCGTGAGCGTAGAACAAGGACATCCGGTTGGCCAACTCGTTACCGACTACGAGATCTCTTTCGGAATTGTCCTGCTGAGAGAGCGAAGCCCTCGTCAGGGTCCTACGGTAATAACTGAAGTCATTTTGTATGGCAGGTGTCTTCATCTTGTGCTCGTCGAACTTCAAAACGAATTCGAGAATTTCAGCCAATTGCTTCACCAGGGCTTGTTGGGTTTCCAAGTGCTGAGTCGGCGACAGATTACCGGAGCAGAGTTGACCCAGGATCTTGGGAACGACGCCCTCTGGATGAGGGAATCAAATAATTTTGAAAAATGACACTCCACGAGTGATTGCTGATAAGGACCTACCCAATTCCAGGGAAAATTCGTAGAATCTTTTGAGTTTGGCAACTAGTGGCGCAACCGTTAGATACGCTTTTCTTTGACATTCCTCCGTTGGCGCCGAAATGGCCTCTCGAATTTCCTTTCCCGCGCCCTTGTAGCACTGGATCTCTTCCAAAATAGATTCCGAATTTTTGAGCACCCTTTGGACAGCCTCGAAAGTCTCCCTCTCTATGTCGGATGGTTGCGCGTCTGTGAAATAAAAATACGAGGTTAGGTTTTTTCAAAGATTTATCGATTATTAATGAACATTTGTACACTCACTTTCAAAATCCAAAAAAACATCGTATTTCTGGGGTGTGCAACACGTGGACTCGTCCCGAGCCAAGAGACTCAGAAGTTTGCCCATCCTTGGCTACTGATCTTGAGTCAACAACTAGTCTAGCCTCTGAATGGCATCTGAAACAAAACGTTACAATGACAAGAAAGATTTTGAAAAACGATTCACTTTCTTTGGATGGATCAACGGCCTTCTCAAACTGTCACAGGAGATTCTTCTACGCAATAGCATTTGTTTTATTATGTTTATATTATTTTAACCGCAGTGTACACGTCTACCAGAAATCGAAGTACGAGGAATCAAGAACGTAAAATCTTTTATTAGCGAGTAGCAGCTGACTTCGCCTGGAAGTCGCGTGGTTTATGATATTCATTCTACGAAGTCTACCACAACAATAACGTCGAATCTTGATTATCAGACGCTACTATCTAATGAGTATTACGTCAAATCTAATTAAAACTGAGAAAACAAGATTACATTCTGCATCGTTTATAGAGTGACACGTTACCAGGAGAATGTAATGAAAGATACTGTACATTAATTAGTCGAACAGACAATATGGCAAAAGACACAGTTTTTAATAAAAAATAAAATTATAAATAGTTTCACTAGAGCGAGAAATTGGGGCCACTGGAAATCCAAGAATGTCACAAAATCGCAGTCCGCCTCGATTTTCAATAATGAAATTGGGAATCTCTGTCCGAGGGATCTTCTGCATCTTACCGTCATTTATTTGGCAATATACACGGTGTGCATATTAACGTCGACAAAAACCAATGAGTAATCGATAAAAACAAACTTAAATTCACAGCGAAATCATGATCGCGGGGTTAGTTTCCTGGCACTTCCTTATTTGGTCAACAAACGTCGTCACGTTAGGGAAAATCAATGGATAGTAGTTCGTCTACCCGCCAGCCAGATGGCGCGCGAGGCAGCGGCGCCAAGAATTCGAATATCCGATTTAAGGGAGGGAAAGCTGCAACCGCTTTCCTAAAATTAGACGTTAAAATTAGAATTTCCAAGCTTCACAGTAAACTCGCTGTCTCACGCTGTGAATTCTCCTGCCGGTGGCCCCCGAGGGCCACTGTAACGTTGGCCATGTCGTGTTTGCCTTTATTATATCGCCACTCTGTATATCACTCTCTCGTAAATAATAACCAAATTGGACGACTAAATACTGCGGTGAGATTTTTGCACCTCGTCTCACGGACGATTGGATAATCGTCGGAAATTGTGGGCGAGGATAATCATCGTCCATTAAAGCCTTTTTGTGCTTCAATTCCAGCAAATCAATTGAGACCCCATTGCCCTTCGTCTGGGACCAGTAGGTAACCAAGCGGCCTAACCAGCCTGACTATCGTGTGGACGACTATATTAAAGACTCCCACCCACGTGAGTCTATCGAACAGTCGTTGAAAAATAAATACAAAGCTAAGGACTATCGAACGAGTAACGATCATTAATCGGAACGATCGAACAGGAGATATATGTATACTACAGATATATCTGTAGTATAGTACAGTATGGTATAACGAAAGGAGTAGGCAAAGTGCGACGGCACGTATCGTCGTATTATTCTTCCACACGTACGTGTAGTATACAGTGGATTGACGTGACGACCGTGAACGTAGCCAATGCGCAATGGTCGAGCCGTTTCAGCGCGTCTGCTTTATATATGGCGTGTTTTCTTCCCTCTATATTTGGTAATGTCCTCGTTACGCTCGCCTAAATTAATTAAAAAAGGCGAAGGCCCCGTGACGAAGTCTCGTCAACCTGACGCATCACCCTGTGGAGTATCAACATCTTAAAAAGGAAGGCGCGTTGGCCTTACACCTTCCCTATTCATCCGACGTCGACGTCGACTGGCAAATTCTACAGTATTACGTGTGCGCCGAGTATAACGGCTTGTCGTCTCTAGCCTACTTCGCGCAAATACCTCGAGCCTTACGGAGGTCTCTCTAGGACTCTATAGAAATTCAAGGCGAGTACGAAAACCTGAATAAATGCCAGAACTGTTTTCCTTAACTTCGCGCAGTTAAGATAAAGTTGAAAGCCTGAACAAGACTCCTTTTTTGGATAATTATAAATTATCACGAAAAGGATACCCCAGGAATTCTTTTATCAGTAACTCGCGTCATCCTCCTAGTCGCACATGCACGACGAGTGTGCGTTTGCAGACAAAACAAATGTTTGTTTTCTGGACTCCAACGAGAATAAAGTCCTTAGTGCACGAAAATTGTGCAATTGCATCGACGTGCATCGGTAAGTCTCGTTGCATCGAGTAGGCAAGTTTAGATACAAAAGGATCGCGCGCGACTTCGCAATGGGGATTCAATATCGAGTGGTGGCATTGAATGGTTCGTGGGATGCCTACGCCAATGGACGAGCCAGGAGGGATATCGTCATATCCCGGACGAATGGTGGAAACCTCCGACCGAAGCCCCCGCAACCTCCCAAAGCCGTCGCTCTTCAGCTGCATCCACTATTCTGCTGGAGTCTGCTATGTGGCCAGTATACAGGGTCACATATGTGCCGGATTAAAAGAATCCACGAATATTGGTAAAATTGTAAGAGGCCCTGCTTTGCTTTTAGCGCCGCCGCCTGACGTCACGTGGTGGCCGCGTACTGACGAATTAAAAGGGAATATAGTTTTAGTTGGTTCGTTAATATGGAAAGGAAACACCGCGTGTGGCTTGACTCTCTCACACGTGCGCTGTCTCCATAGACGCGTCTCTCTCGCTCTCTCTCTATTTCACTGACCCTATATCCGCTTTCCAGTCTGACGTTTCCGCATGGGGGATCCTGCACGTTAACGTCTGTATAATTGAATGCTCGGAGAATCAAGTAATTCCTCGAAATTAGTGTTTCTCTCTTTTCCATGAAAATCGATTGTTACACCAATTTCCAGAGCCGCTGGTATTTTTGGTTGAGCGATCGATCGAGTATGTGGATTCGCCAGCACGTACACATACGTGCAGTCCGGAGGAACGAGCAGCCACTGTTTCCCTTGGTAATTTCGCGTACGAACATGCGACCTAGTTGTTAATTGGTGGGCAAGATAACGCTCTGATTACCAGCCATGGTATCCCCGATAATTAAAAAGAAGGGCGGTAGGTGGTCAGCAAGCACGTTTTTTAAAAAGCCTGTGCCTATTAATGCTGGGGAAAAAAAAGAAAAAAACAGGGAAAGGCCAGACACGCGTCGATACTTCGTACGCGCAATAGTGCAGAGTGGCGACTCGTGAAAACCGAGAGGAGGCGCTTAGTTTCGCGTTGGCGGGTTTCCCATGCGAAACCGCAGTTTCCTTGGTCGCGTGATAAAAAGCAATCGCATCGTGAAAACCACCTTGCGCAACACTGGAAAGTTCTAATGGTCTTTCGGTTTCTTTCGTCTCTCTGGGATCCTTGTACGAGGCTTTACCGGCGGCGCGACTGCGAAACAAAATGAAAATTGCGAGACTGTCTGTGCCTGAAGAAAGCAAGACGCCCGGGGCCAAAGTCACCCTCGTGGTACCGTCGCTGGCGTCGACGTCTCGACGGCTTCAATATATATATATATATACATCCCACACAGTGATACAGATGGCCGCACACTTACGCCGAGTTAACCGACAGTTTATTTACCTTAGAAGCAACGATGAGAGCGACTCTGGGAAGCATTCGTGAGTGACTTATCGAATTCGCACGAGTCCCCAAATCCGAAAGGTCCAAAATAGTAAAAGTAGTCACTTTTGCTTCAAGAGTCCACTGATGTTGCAGCCGAGACAGGGGAGAGGGACGAAATTGACACTGGAGACGGGTATCGCTCGATCGGTAAAAGGGATCGACTTTCATAGAAGGTAATCGACGCGATCGTATAAGCGCACGCACAAGTCGCGATAACGCTATCGCGAATACACTCGCGATAAGGCAATTCTCCTCTGTCAAAAGCTGACTCTACGTACACTGATCTTGTTTCTTTCTATACACTGATAGGAAAAATCACTTTGAAAACTTATGAAGAATTAATCGGTTGAGCTCGAGCGAGAACTCCTTGCACGACGGAATCCAGTACTGACGTCGCTCTTGTCAAAACCGACAGTAGTCGCCGATATGATGGCGTAGCGCGCCGTGACAAATTCGTTGTGAACTCCAGTACGTCTGGGCCCCTTCTACCAAGTCAGCTGATTCCCCACTGCCAGTCCAGCCGCTCGGAAGGTCCCCCCTGCTCACGGATCCCCCTTGCGCTAGTCGTATAGGGTACGGAACGTTACGGAACTTTAACCCTTTACCCCATTGGTGGGAGAGAGGGAAGGAAGCGTTTTAAGGTTCCTAGATAGTCGGTGGGTTCGTTGCTGAACCTTTGCGAGAGCAACTCGATCTTGGATCACTCGAAAAAACAGGCATGTTCGTACTTAGCGAATACTCATGTTTTTATTTTTAATAAACTTTTTCAAATTTACGTCAGATTCCATTGTTGGTCTACGATCTTGTCTTATTCTTGCTTTTGTCTGCTAAAGTTTTTTGATCTTTATTTGGCTTTACCTCGCTTTACCCTCCTGCACTTTTACCTGATTACTCTTTCTCGTGAACAGTGCAATGACTCTGGATGTACGTGTCGCAAGTGCACTTTAGACAAATGCACGTGTCTGGTGCATCAGGTGGCTCTGCGTGGGAAAGCCCTAATTCATTGTTCGCTTGGACTTTGGCTTTTTAATTAACCCTATGACAAGGTTCTTGTCATGATACAGGGAACTGTAGATACGATAATAACTCTCAATTATATCTGTAATCGATAGAACAACAGACTAGTAAATATTTTCTATAATTTCTATATCGAACACATAGGACGTGCCTGGTTGCTATTATTACCCAGGGCAAACTTCTATTCTTAATAGATAGACAAAGCTCAGTGGACTTCTGTTGCTGTACAGGTGGAGAACTGAATCGTTTCACTGAGATCAGATGAACAGTCGTTCGGTTGAGTCGTAATTCGAGACGGGACGTGGTTCTTTGTTCGAAACAATATTGCGTTCTGTAGAAGCGAACTTACTACGAGTACTTGTGCGTTGTACCGACACATTGTCCTCGTGCTACGTACAGTTTTTAAGAAGCCTCCTACTCGGCACTCGGAGTTAACTTTTATTGGACGAACCTAATAATATTCTGCTCGCGTCTTATCCGACTCGATTGTTAACGAACCAAAGTTCTGTATATTTCATTTAAGCATTCTTCTAGTCGATATATTCTTTGTCGCGGGATCTACCTTACCGACGCGCATTTTAAGCTACTAAATATCCTCTGTCGGTCACTCGCGTTTTCCCTCGTAGGTACACTCTCGGAATTACAATACAGAACCGGGACTTACCATCAGTCCCAAGAGTAGCTTATTCCTCCTTGAGAAAATTTTAATCGTAGTAACCAATACATCCATTAGATGACGGATAAAAGATAATTATGTAAGAATTCAATATTTTTCAAAAACACAACACTGCCACGTTAAAGAACTCCCACGTAGTGTCTATTGACTGGTTGTCTTATGATAATAAAATCGTCGCAATTTCCAAGAATACCTGAATATAATTACTCGAACAATTCAAGGACTCTTCGGTAGAATCTCCTTTGTATTCGACATACCGGACGGCGCCAGTAAATTGATGTTCGCAGGACAGTCCTCCGCATTCGTCAGAGACGACGCGCGTGTTTGCACACGTGTCCCGCGACGCCGAAGTAAAGTCACTAATTACCCGACGCCAATTGTACACACGTCGGCGCGTTGCATGAGATTGAGTAAGTTCCTCCCTCTGTCCCCGCAGCCCCCATTATCGCAAGTGGTCGTACGTCACTCATTTCGCCTCCTGTATCATTCAACCACTCCGAGCAGGCATCACACGTAAGCATTAATGGGGACAGGTGATACCCGCATGAGGATATCCTCGAGAAAAATCCAACCCCAAGGGGAAACATTCTAGTCGCTTAATGACGACGCGCTTGAAACGAACGTTTTTCAGCCGTCGTGATCATCGACGTCGATTGGACCTCGAGATCGATAAATTCTACGAGAAAATTGAATATTCACGTATCTGATTGATGAGATTTCAGGATTATTCCAGGGCACCCTCAGTCTTTTCCTCCTATCAGGGTATTCTTTGTAACGTCCATCATTTCGAAAACCCTCTTACGACCTCTTTATTCGAGAGGTCAACACTTACCATAAATTGCAATTCATGCGGCAAGTCATTTGGGATCACGTTGTCTGGTCCAGCGCAGCATCACGGTAGCGCGTGCGCACCTATCAAATACGTATAGGTAAATAAGCGAGCGACAGAGCGACTTTCGCATCTGCGGAAAAAAGATGACGGAGAATTTTATGGGGAAGCTTCTTCTGCAGTGTTTGGGAACACTTTGGGGCGAGGGCTTGTAAAACCGAAACGAGAAAAATGAGATCAACAGCTCGTGAAAGATTTTGGGGTGACGCCCAGACTGAACCCGAGGAGGTCGCACCTTGCCGGAAAAAATCGAAAGGTCGCGTCCCGACCGACCTGCGTGCGGACGTTTTACACGGATTAGCTAATCCCATATGGCGAAATAAATAAAGCCAATATTCACCGCGCAGCTGAATTTAGCCCCGGCGCATCCCCTCAGCCTCTCGTCCCTGGTAGACCCCCTATTTCTTGTTCGATGGGAGGCTAGACCACATTTGAAAAATTTCTGTGATCGATCTAGATCATTTCCCTCCCTTCATTCTGCTCCTGCTTTACCTTTCATCCCCATACCCGCCATGAAATCTCGTTTTATCCCCCTGGACTAAATGACACGTTATATTTTTACGACTATATAGATGACCGAAGATTTTCCTCGGAAATACCGTATCAGTATCACTGCCTATAGTTTCCTTCGTCTCTATTACCGCATCTACCGACGACATCCCAAGTAAGCCCAGAAGTCCCGAAAATATTTTAGAACTTACCGCGGTAAGAATAAAATATATCTATCGACCACCCGATATACATCGGAGTATAAAACCATAGGACTATTCGACTGAAATTCCTGTAGCAGTCAATTTCCTAAAGAGAATTCAGTCGATGTATGAACCCTCAGAAGCATGGCGGCAAATTAATTTCACGATTCTACGAGGCAGCACCCTTTAAAGTCGATGAATATTTATTCAGCCGGGGAAAATTTTTCCGCGTAGAGGACGCGCGCATACCCCTTACAACCCCCATGCGTCACGGTCCACTCGTAGCAGGAAAAAGGGGTGCGAGGGAACGGGGGAAAGAGGATCATCCAGAAAAACATACAGGGTGCCACAAGCGTCAGGCAACATCGGCGAGGCCAAAATTTTTCCATCCTGTAAAGGAAGATCGCGAATATGCAGCTGTCGGGGCTGAGCACCTGCCTTGTACGATCAATCCTCCTCGTGTAAATACGGACTGTGCAAGTCCGTGTTCCTTTACCACGAGTCCCAGCACCTTGTGCATCCTATATATAATACAGGTAATACAGGGTCATTCGGCTCAAACGCTGCCAGTCAGATTTGTCAGCTGTCAGCGGTATTGGACGATGTTAAGGATGTTAAGGAAGTGAAGACGCGGGGAGAAAAAAATAATTTTTTTTTACTTGCTGATAATGACGAATTAATGAGAGAGAGAGAGAGAGAAGCATGGGAAATGCGCAGTCCACCCTCTTTCTCCCCCATGGAAATGGGGGACAGCTCAGAGGGGTGGTCCCCGTTCATTAGTATTCTTCCTACGATGACTTTTCTCCCCATCTTTTATTATACAACTACGTGACACACATTATGCATCCCTCCATGCTTACCAAAAAATTGAACTACCGCTATACCGGGTGTCGGATGCAGGGGTGCCTCTTTCTCTATCCTTTTTCATTTTGACTTTCTCTCTGTCGGGGACCATGTGCTGCTGCGGTTAGCGCTAGTACGCTGACAAGGTTACTAAGTAAATATCTTGAATAAATAATACTAGGAACTAGTCCGATGCAGGGTAGTTAGTACGTAACGGAGCCTAGAAATTCAAAATTGTACCGATGCCGTCAAGTGGGTACTGGAGACCCTGTGAAAACCTATGGAGGAAAGGGTGGCAGTAAACCCTTAAGGGTTTCTTTACGAGAAACCCTCGTGCTCCAGGTTCGCCGGACGAATTCGACTTTACTATTCGAAAGTTCCTGCTGGTTGTCCAAGGACGCGCCTCATCCTGTCACGAGTGAACTTTCAGGCCACCCCGTGGATTCTCGAGGACCACTCAAATTGCCATTCGCACGAGTCCTTGAGATCCGGTGTCTGCTTCCTGCAGACAATATTCGATCGATTTGCATTTCCACGATTGCGACGCCGAGACTCGAAGAATCGTCTTTCCTTACGAACCGCAAGGTAAGATGCTGCGAGGTGGGAGTTATCGGTTTATCTTTTGCCTTCTTGAATCTGGGAGACGAATCGTCGGGTTGAGCCGAACGAGACTGTCGAATGTACAAGGGAAATTCATTTTGCCGATAACATTCGTAGTATGTTGCAAACAGATAAAGCAGCTGTAGTTTCTATGGGAGCGACCGAAGGGTTGAAGAGTTCCTATCGATCGAGTATAGAATTGACTCGGGTACCTTTTTCGCATCGTTGGCCATTATTCGGGCGGAATGGGAAGAGGATCTTGACGATCCGATCTCTCGGAAAAATGTTCAGCGGCGCATTCGGCACCCGTGTAAAAATTCTTAAAGGTTGTTGCTCGAGTCGTGAAACGAGTTTAAAGGTAGGCTGCCGCGCATAGGGCGCATCTGCCCCGAGATTGCAGGCCGCTGCAGTGCCGCTACCAAATAAAAGTAGAAGGGAGAGGAGAAAGAAAAGGGGGGAGCAGGAATAAAAAGTCAAATGAAAAATAAAAGACGAGAGACACCTCGAAAGCATTACCAGCTGGCACGCGTCTTCGTCCACATTATCATTAAGAAGGATCATCGCGAGGAATCCTCGAGAGGATTTTCGTTTTATTACCTCGAGGCACCTGCTCCCCGATTGTTCCGTAGGGCCCGACGCCGGCTGAGAAGGCCCCGGTTCCACATTGGGGATCCTGACACTCGGACGATTTTCGTTGGCATCGAGACACAACCTGGAGTTCAGTCGATTCACGTTCTTCGTGGCGTGTCGTAATATCTAGGTCCCGCAAGACCAGCGAGCGAGG